AAAATTAATTTTTAATAGAGCTGACAGAAATTCAACAAATTACAATAATAATTATAGCTAATATTTATTAGCTAGCTACATTGTTTTATGGATATTACATGTACTAACTGATAGTACAGAGTAGCAGGTGACTGACTTTTCTACAACACAAGAATGGGAATCCCAGAACACTTGATCTAATGCAAAACCTACATACATGGCCCAAGAGGCAGTTGTTAGAACAGAGCAAGGAAACACTGCATGTTTCAAAATTGGGAAGGGAGTACGCCAGGGATGTGTCCTGTCTCCATACCTTTTCAACCTGTATGCAGAATAGATTATCCGGGAGGCTGGGCTCTATGAGGAGAAATGTGGGGTCAAGATTGGTGGAAGATCTATCAACAATCTGCATTATGCAGTTGACACAACCCTGGTTGCTGAAACTGAGGAGGACCTGAAGCGCTTGCTGAAGAGGGTCAAAGACTGCAGCCTTTAGTATGGATGAAGGCTCAATGTCAAGAAGACAAAGATTCTCACCACAATTCTCACAATTGGCAGTATCAGGATGAATGGTGAAGAGATTGAGATTGTTCACAGCTTTAGTTTGCTTATCTCCACAGTCAACACTCTTGGCACCAGTAGCCAGGAAATTAAAAGACGTACTGCGATGGGAAAGTCTGCTGTTAGGGACCTCTCCAAAGTACTGAAGAGCAATGGTGTCTCTCTGGAGACTAAGGTGCATCTGATACAGGCCATGGTCTTTGCAATCACTTGTTATGCATCAGAGAGTTGGACAATGACTAAGGAGGATAGAAGGAGAATTGATGCCTTTGAGCTGTGGTGCTGGAGAAGAGTATTGAGGGTACCATGGACTGCTAGAAAAACAGACAGATTCATCCTGGAAAGGGTTAAATCCTTGGAGGCAAGGATTCTGAGGCTTCGTCTAACATACTTTGGACATGTTGTAAGGAGGGACCAGTCCTTGGAGAGGGACATCATGCTTGGGAGGGTGGAGGGACAGCACAGGAGAGGAAGGCCCTCTATGAGGTGGATTGATTCAGTGACTGGGATAATTGGGATGGGAGTGTCGGAGACTGTGCGATTGGCACAGGACAGAGCAGAGTGTAGGGCTGTTGTACATAGGGTCACTATGAGTCGCTAGCAACTCGATGGCACTAACAACAACAACAACATTTTTGTGTTGCGTTCTTTTTGGTGTTTTTGCTAGTTACTTTGGTCTAACCTGCTTTCTGTGGCACTTCTGTAAGAAGGATGTCTCTCAGCGTTTCCTGCAACACTGGTCTTGTTTTTATAAATCCTTTAGGTTCTGTTTTTCTGTGAGTATCTTGATCTTTCCTTTATATTGATGGACAACTTCACTGGGTACAATATTCTTGGTTGACTATATTTGCTTCTAAACCATTATTTGACCAAACAGCTGGATGCCACAGCCTAGCACAGGTGACATATAAAATTAACCACTGGAAACTAGAGTTTGTAGGGTCATGGTAAGAATCCTATTCTGTAGCATTTTAAGCAGGAAAGGAATAGGAAATAATATGGTCTGATTTACTAGGATCTTCATGGCAGTGCATAAACACTAATGAATGAAGGACCACAGTACTCCATGTTCATTATTCATGTATGTATATATATCTTAAATCATTGTCTCCACTTCTAGCAAAGTTTCATCATACAACAAGAGTCATTTTTGCTCACATCGTTGTTAATATATGAACAACAAATGCTGGCGAGGTTGTGGAGAAACTGAAACACTTATTCACTGTTGGTGGGAATGTAAAATGGTGCAACCACTATAGAAGACAGTATGGCGTTTTCTCAAAAAAGTTGGAAACAGAAATACCGTTTGACCAATCAATTCCACTACTGGGAATATACCCTAAAGAAACCAGAACTATCGCCCAAGCAGATATATGTTACCCATGTTTATTGTGGCTTTGTTCACAATAGTAGAGAGTCGGAAACAACCCAACTGCCCATCAACAAATGAATGGATAGGGAAGCTGTGGTATATTCACACAATGGAATATTACGCTGCATTGAAAAATAAGGAACTCATGCAATATTATACAAAATGGATGACCCTAGAGGACATTATGCTGAGTAAAATAAATATCTGAGTCACAAAGAGACAAAGAGTGCATAATTCCACTGTTGTAAAAAGTAGGCTAAGAAAAGAGGAGATAAATAATGTATACTGCATGAGAGAGAGAACTATTTGAAAGGAATATATGATTAGGCCTTCTATGAGATGGACTGATTTGGTGGCTGGGGTAATTGGGATGAGTGTGTCGGAGACAATGAAATTGGCACAGGACAGAACAGAGTTTAGGGCTGTTGTACATAGGGTCGCTATGAGTCACAAGTGCCTCGACGGCACATAACAACAACAAACAACATTTTCATGCCGAGAGTCCAGAATGAGAGCTGCGTGGTGGAGTAGACTGGGGGGAATTGTCTATTAACGAAAGGTTTTTGGTTTTTTAAATTTTCGAAGAGAAAAGCCAACTGGGGGGAAGGGTGGGTAGGGAGGAAAATGTGCAGCAATGAATGAATGGAAATCCAAAGTCTCTATAAAGTTTCATTAAAATTTCAAGTAAAAAAAGCAGTAAATGCGAAGATATTGACATGTGATTAACATTTAAATCAATTAACCAAAAACTAAGCTAAGTAAGTACTCTTGATAATGTGGGTGGGTCTCATCCAAAAAACTGAAGGTCTTTTAAAAAGGATAGGGGGAGGAGTTTCCTAAGAAGAAAGGATTCTGTTTAAGACAGTAAATAAACAAGACTGTTATTGTCTCCATCCTGTCCAATCAATCTGGATCTTAGATAAAAGACTGCTAAAGTTTCTAGTTTTTCCAGTGATCAACAGATAGTGGACCTGCCACAAATTTGTGAAACAATTTTTCAGAATATATTATCTTTCTGTTGTTATGTACCATCAAGTTGGAACTGACCCATAGTGGACCCTCTGGTGGGTTTTCAAAGGTAATTAATTGCATGGGAAATTGTCCATCTTTCTCCCACAGAACAGCTGGTAGATTCAAACTATGTTCCTTGGGGAATGCAGAACAGTTCTTGCCATGAGGCTACCAGAATCTTTCCACAGACATATTTATTAATAGTTCGCTTCTCTAGGGAATCCCAAGACATTCTTTAACTCATTTTCTACTGTCTTCCCTTTTAGACTCATTCTATAATGATATACTCACTTTTCACTCACTTGAACATGACAACCGATTCCTGCTTTTGCCCTTTTATTCTGGTTGTCCTCTCTATCACAAATGCTTTGATTCCAGATCATCCTATGGCAGGATCTGTTCTATTATTTAGACTTCAACTCATGTATCCCCTCCTCCTTCTCTTCTAGAGCATAGGAAGAAACTCATCCTTCACCCCAGTTTGTCCTCTTCCCCATTTCCTATTTCATTACCTTCATTAAGTTGCTGTCAAATTGGTTCCAGCTCATGGCAAACTCATGTGTACACTACAGAATTGTACTTTCAAGTTGAAATACAAACTAGAATATTGAATTTAATATTCAAATTAAGAGGATAAGAAAGTGCTACCTTAAAAACTCCAGGTAAATTAGATCACTTCTACAAAGAAACAATTTTTTTTGTTATCTCTTCCAATGTGTATGGTAAAATAAAGCACATCACTTAACTGTCATTAAAAATTTGAGATTTTGTAATTATGTACCAATAATACTTTTTACTACCAAAAAGGGGAGATTTTCTAAGGAATAAAGTTTTATTTACACTTAAGGTCTATTATATTTCTCACTTCAGTAGACAAGTTATTTCAGTAAAATATTATTGTTACTTTATTAATTTTTTCAAAATAATATTTCACTTATTTTATATAATGATCTAAGAGTCAAATATATTTGAATCACATGGCTGTTTTGAAGATGCCTAAAATAATAAACAATGTAAACAAATTAGACTTTACAGTTTGTTGAACTGCAGAATGAAGAATAATATTATCTTTATATAAAGTATAAAAGTTACATTCTAAATAGATGGGAGAGTTAAAAAGAAATCCATTTTCTCTTGAATTACATAGCTATAACCAAACATCACCCTTTTTTCAGCTCAAGGTAGACACATAAGCCACAGTCAATATACCCTTTATGACTGACTTAATTTCTTTCCTCCACGTACTTGTAACTCATCACTGCTAGAGATAAAATGGGAGGGGGAAAATACAACAAAGTGATTCAGAATTACATGTTTTCAGATATAAATGTATTAAAATCTGTCCCTGAAAAAAAAATCTCAAAAATAAAAGTACATTTAAGAAAGACAGTTGCACAACTAACCACCTAACCACATGGAATGGCAATATGCATGGTGAGATCATAAGAAAGTCAATGAGACTTACGAGTTATAGTAAACATCAACAAACAAATTATGGAAATATGCAATGGATAAGAAAATGCATAAATTAGCTTTTAAAAAGAGAGTAGACGAATAAAACATCATTTAAAGAAAAAAATTATTACTGATGTACCTTTACTGAACTATAAAGCTCTTATTATCCAAAAATTACAGTATCTCCATCTGTTAATCTGACATGAACAAGCTGATAAATGAAATCAGAAAACAGTGTATTTTGGCAAAAGCAGAAACTTCCCGAAAGCCTAGAAAAATATGACCACAACAGATGGATCATTTAGAAAATAAATACATCAATCTGTCAAACTGAGTACTATTCTAGTTCTCTGAATTAAAAGTAGTAGGAGCTCCACTTTCCAAGAGGATATGATATTAGGAAGGCCAGAGGGGAAAACACTAAAAATTCACATAAACATATCTCAATGACCCACAGTGTTACATGGTTACGTATCTGGTTAAATATACTAGATTTAGGTAAAGTCCTTACCAGTTAACTTCTTCACAGGTTGAAGCCGAACACTGATAGACTGATGTGTGAGCAAGGGGGAGGATGGAAGAGAGCGAGACATGCCCTCCATAATCCGAATGTGCTGCATACCTTCACTCACTGGAAGTGGTGGGACGGCATAGTCTGGCTCAAAAGCACAGTCACTTTCTGTGGAGATGCCACCTGTCAGACAAAAAGGGATGAAACAAAAGAGCTAGTAAAAAAGAGTCTCCCTTCCCTATAAAAATGTATTTTTTAAGATAATTCAGGATGATATATACTGATATGACTTGTTGTGAAAAGCCATTTTAAACACACATATACCACTTCTGACACTAGGAAATGAAAGCCAGATCAAACAGGCTCTAGTTGTAATAAAAGAAGTCATATAAAGAAGTAATTACGGTACAATGCAAGAAATGTTCCAATTACCTTAATGGTTCTCTTTTATCCCCAAACAGGACAAAGGAAAAAGAAGGTATTAATGCCTGTGACACACAATCATGTGGCATTTCCAATAAGACTGCTGCAACTCTATTTCTCACCATCCTTGAGAAAGTAGGTATAAATGCAAATAGGTAAAACTAATATTAATACATAATAATTCTTATATCTGCACTAATTTTGATTTTAAAGTTAAACTACACGCTATTCACCTCCACTTGTGGTAACAGTAGATCATGTAATTCAGTTGTTTTCTTTCCCCAGAGAAAAGCTAGACCATATATATTTACTATTGGACAGTTAAGAGCATGATGAAGAATAAAAAGATAAGCCTGGCACTAGGTATTTAGTAGCATGCAAGAAACAAAGAAGCCACCTCACCGAAGACGACATTCAGATGGCTAACAAGCACATGAAGAAATGCTCAAAATCCCTAGCCCTAAGAGAGATGCAAATTAAAACAACTATGAGATATCATCTCACCCCAGTCAAAATAGCAAAATTTAACAGAACAGCAAGCAACAAATGCTGGCGAGGTTGTGGAGAAACTGGAACCCTGATTCACTGTTGGTGGGAGTGCAAAATGGTGCAACCCCTGTGGAAAGCAGAATGGCGCTTTCTCAAAAACTTGCAAATAGAGATACCATTTGACTCAGCAATTCCACTACAGGGAATATACCCTGAAGAGACCATAGCTGACATCCAAGCAGATATATGCACACCCATGTTTATTGCAGCTTTGTTCACAATAGCAAGGAGTTGGAAACAACCTAAGTGCCCATCAACAAATGAATGGCTAGAGAAGTTGTGGTATATTCGCACAATGGAATACTATGCTGCATTGAAAAACAAGGAACTCATCCAATATTATTCAAAATGGTTGATTCTGGAGAACATTATGCTGAGTGAAATATCCCAGTCACAAAAGGACAAATATTGCATGATGCCACTGTTGTAGAATGGGACTGTCCTTGGGGTTGGGGAGAGACTGAGTAAGATGGGTTCAATAATGTATACTGCACTGAAACAGAGGAGGGAGAAAACTGTTTAAAAGAGATATATGACTAGGTACTTCTGTCATCACAGGAGTCTAGAGCGAGGGCTACATGGTGGAGGGGACCTGGGGGAGGGTTTGTAAAACAACAAAAGAATCTTTTCTTTTACTTTTCCATAATTTTTGACTCATGTACTTATAACTTGTTAGTCAAATTTGTGTCTTCTAGGTTGAAACACCCCCATGATACATCTTCAAGGATATGAACATGGACGGCCAAGCACAATTAATAACGGTGCATCTAAATTCCAAAATAAATCTCCATAATAGTCTATGTGTTTCCTACTGCCAAAGGGGCCCTTTAGAGTAGTGAGAGAAGATCTTCACCCTGAAACCCACAGCGTCCCTTTTCAGCAGGAAGTAGCTAAGAGAATACGCCATCCCCTTTCCCTTATTAATCAGGGTGAAGTCTCTCTCAGGGAGGAGTGATAGGGAATGGCAAAGGACACACTGACAAAGGAGATTAAACAGAACTGGCTTTGACAAGCACTGTGGCAACTGGACAATTAAAACAGACATTCGGAGGGCAGGGGAAGAAGAACAAACTGGGGAAGAGGTTAGAGAGAATGGTGCAGCAATGAAGGAACGAAAATCCAAAATCCCTGTAAATGTTCATTAATACTAATAAAATTTAATAATAATAATTAAAAAAAAGAACACTGCAGACACAGGGGGGTAGAAAAGAAACAAAGAAGCTAGAGACCGTTTTACAGCGATAAGAGCACATTAGTGTCTGTGACTCACTAGGGAGCAGAAGGGGAACTGGTAAAATCCCAAAAATCTTGTTTGAGATTCCAAAAAACTATACTCTAGAAGTTAGTATTAACTGAAAGTAGGTTAATTCTCACAGGGACTAAAGCCCAGATGCAAGTATTTCCCACAAAATTAAACTGATTCTGAACTACTGTGTTGTGAGGTGTCAAGTTGTCCATGACTCATGTTTGTCATGTTGTTGTTCTTGTTATGTGCCAACTAGTTGCCTGCTCATAGCAACCCTATGTACAATAGCTCTGAACCCTGACCTAGCCTGAGCCAATCTCACTGTCTCTGATGCACCTGTCCCTAATACCGTAGTTATGGTATCAATCCATCTTATCCAGGTCTTCCTCTCTTGTGCTGTCTCTCCCTCCACTCTTCCAAGCATGATGTCCTTCTCCAAGGACTTATCTCTCCTGGCAACATGCCCAAAGTATGTGAGATGGAGCTTCAAAATCCTTGCCTCCAGAGAGCAACTTGGTTTCACCCTCTCCAAGACAGACCTCTTTGTTCTCTTAGCAGTCCATGGTATGTTCAATACTCTTCTCCAGCACCACAAATGAAAGGCATCGATTGACTCATAGTCACACACTATAAAGAACAGATCTGAGCTTTGGCCTATCTGTTCTGTACTATCCTCACAATCTCTGATATGCTCAAACTCTTTGTTACACTGTGTTGATTCATCTTGCTGAAGATCCTTTTCTTTTTTGCTGATCTTACTTCTTTTCCATGAACTGGTTTCTCCTGCTCAAAGTATATAGGATAAAGTTTCACCATTCTTGTTTCCAAAGAGCATCCTATTTGTATTTCCTCCAAGACAAAAGTCTTTGTTCTTTTGGAAGTCCAATTCAATACTCTTCTCCAACACTACAACTCAAAGAACCAATTCTGACAGTTACTCTTATTCACTGTTCAACTTTCAGAGGCATACGAAGTAACTGAGAAGACTATGGCTTGGGTCAGACATATAGTAGATTTTAAATTGACACCCTTCCTCTTTAACATTTTAGAGAGATTCTTGACAGCAGATTTCCCCAATGAAGCATGTCTTTTAGCTTTTGACTGCTGTTACCCTGGGTCTTGTTTGTGCATACAAGTAAAATGAAATTGCTGGCAACTTCAATCTTTTCTGCATATATCATGAGGTTGCCTACTGGTCCAGTAGTGAGGATATTTGTTTTCTCGATGTTGAGACAAAATCCACATTGATGGATGTAGTCTTTGATCTTCTGCAGCAAACATTTCAAGTACTCCTCACTTTCAGCAAGCAAGCTTATCTGCATAATGCCAGTTGATGATGTGTCATCTTCTTGCCCCAATGACACCTTTTTCTTCATGGAGCCTAGTTTCTTGCAGTATTTCTTCTTCATTCAGATTAAATAGGTATGGATAAAGGATACAACTTTGATGCACCATTTTCTTTATTTTAAACCCTGCTTCCTTATTCTGTTAGGACAGCTGCTTCTTGGTCTAGGTATAGGTTTTTCATAAGCATGATTACGTGTTATGATTCGCATAGTCAAACGTCTTTGCATAGTCAATAACATTCAGGTTTATAAGAATTCTTTCTGGTATTCTCCAGTTTCAGCTAAGATCCATCTGATATCAGCATGATAACCCTTATGCTTCAAGCATCATTCAATATTTTGCCCACAGAATCCTTCAGTTTGCAACTCAAGCTTTGCATCTGTTCTTCAGTTCTTCAACTTGAGAAATGCCAAGCATGTTTTCCCCTTTTGGTTGTCTAACTACAGCTCTTAGCACATTTCATTATTAAACTTTGTTCCATCTTCTCAAGCTGCCTTTTGAAATCACGTGGTCATCTCTTTTATCTCAACATTTCTTCCCTTTGTTTTGGCCTTTCCTGTTCTAGTGCAATTTTTAGAGTCTCTTTTGACATTCAGTTTTATTTTTTCTTTCTCCTCTGTCTTTGTAACAATCTTTTGCTTTCTTCATAGATGACAGCCTTGGTCCCTGAACTCATCTGGTCATAATTATTAGTGCTCAATGCATCAAATCGGCACTTGAGATGGTTTTTAAATTTAGGTGGGATAGCTCAAGGTCATATATTGGTTCTTGTGCACTTGTCCTTTTTTTTCAACTTGAATTTGAACCTGCACATGAGTAATTAATGGTCTGTTCCACAGTCAGCTCATGACCTTGTTTTGTCTGCTGATACCTAGCTCCTCTATGACTTTTCCCATAGACAGAGTCAATCTGATGGTTCCTAGGTGGTCCTTTATGCGCAGTCCACATGTATAATCAACATTAATGCTTTCAGAAAAAAGTATTTGGAATGAGTAGATCATTGTACAAAATTCTATTATTTTATCTCCAGCCTCACTACTACTGCCTGCCAAAATCAAACATAAATCTTGGAGGAAGAGAATATCATCATAGATCTGAAATTATTTTGGTAATTTTTAATATAATATTTGGCTGTTAATTTAAAGTAAAAAGAAGAGGAATAAAGTAAAACAAACAAACAAAAAAACTCCAACAAACCCACCAAAAAAAAAAAACAGATTCAGAGGGGTAACAAGGCACAGAATTTATTTAATGTTGCATGCTTAACATATTTCTAAAAAATTTTTAATTTCTGCATAAAATTAGAGTAATGAAATTTAAAACTAAACAGATTTAAAAGTAGATAAGGCAAAAACAGAAGAATAATAAACTGCAAACTATACTAAAACATTAAAATGCCCAGCAACAACGGCAATGTTTAACAGGGCGGTGAACAACAAATGCTGGCAAGATTGTGCAGAGACTGGAACTCTTATTCACTGCTAGTGGGCATGTACACAGCCACTATGGAAGGTGGTCTGGCCCTTCCTCAGAAAGGTGGAAATAGAAATACCATTTCACCCAGCAATTCTACTACAAGGAATATACCTTAAAAAACCCCAGAGCCTCAAAACAGCTC